CCCTATTTTGCCATTGCATTTATAACAGATCTGTACATAAGCAAACAATGGGAGAAACCACCAGTTTCAGAAAACACTACTAATTCACAAGGACTGCTGCTCAGACAAACTCCCGATACATTCCTTAAATTCCAATAGAACAAAGACTTCACAGAATATTGGACCCTATACAAAAGGGTGGTGCATATTAACGAGCACATGCAGCAGGCAGATCGGGAAGGCTGAACCTTCCAAGCACCTCCGCCAGTGTTGGGCAAAGGGACAGGGACATGCGGCCGGGAAAATCAGGACAAAAACGAGGCCGCGTCCTCCAACACCTGGAGAGAGCGCATGGCAAATGCCCCATGGCCTCTCCCTTTGGGCAGCAATAAAGTCACTCGCACACCACTCCTCTGCCTCCTTTGGCCACACAAACCTCTGGCGCCGGGAATTTTCCCGCCCAGCCCCGGGCACAGCGCAGCCACCTCCGGCCTCCCGACACGAAGCGGGACGAGCCAGCGCTGCTCCGCCACCGCCTCCTGCCGAGGCCCCAGCGGCAAGGAGACCGCGGGCAGCCGCTCCCGCAGCGCCCTCAGCCCAGGGCCAACACGGGCCGGCCACGGCACAAGCCACCCGCCACAGCCCCCTGCCGCCCACAAATGAAGCCCCAATTGAGGGCGTTCTCTGCTTGGTTGAGCCCTGCCTGAGGGCTGGGGCTGCACCAAGGGGGGACACCCTCCTCCAGCAGGGATGTCCCGCAAATGGGGGAGCCCCACAAAGCCCTCAGGACCCCCGGGGCTGGGTTGGCCCTGCGTGGATGCTGGGAACCACCAAAAACTCTCTGTCCCTGCCCTCTGCAACTGCACAGGGACATGGAATACAAGGAAAGGCTCAGGAGCTGGGAGAAGGATGGGGAGGGATCCTGGTTCCAGCATTGACATGAGCACAACAGCCCCAGTCTGGACACAGGGAGTGAATTTATTCACAGCAGGACCAAAGGAGAAGGGAGAGAAATCTCTCCAACACCTCCCCCCACCCAACGGCGATCTGGGGGATGGGGTCTGCAATGAGACAGCCACACATGTTGGGATGATGAGCTTGGGGTGATCCAGTTACTAAAGAGGTTTTGGGGCACCTTCCAATCCTGAGGGAGGAGTAACTTGGAAGGGGAAGGCACCTGGCTCTGACATTAGAGTGGGGCCCCACATGGAAGGACATAGGGAGCCCGTACTAGGGAAGATCCTGCTGCTTTTTCCCAATTTTGGGGGGTTATAAAGGGCTTTGGGGGGTTTCCCGCTCAGTTTAGAGGGTGAAGGTGACCTCTTTTTTGGGAAAATCCTGTTTTTCAGCAGTTTCAGGGGTTCTAAATGGCTTGTGGTGGACCCCCACTTTTGTGGGTTTTGATGTTCTCCACCCACACTTCGAACTGGCCCGGACTGGTGCTCCCAGCACTGTGCAGGGCAGGACCATGGGGACCCCTCCGGCCCAGCGCGGCTGCTTTGGGTCTGGTGGCCCCTGCCAGGCACTTGGGATGGGGCATGTGGGGGGAGCTGGGACCATACTGGTGGTACTGGTGGTGCTGGGAGCTCACCTGTTGGGGGGCCAGTGGGATGTGGGTGAACATGTGTGCTCCCTCCAGGGACCCCCAGCCTGGTGTCACCCCCTTTTTTCTGCCCACAGAGCTCCTGGGCCAGCAGGGGCAGCAGCCCCTCCCCGTGGCCTCAGGCCCGGCCAGGACCCCCGCTCTGTCCCCGCACTGATTTTTGGGGGGGGGTTGTGTGTCCCCCCTCAGCCCTGTTGCCACTCTGCCCACGCCTGGCTGCTCGCAGTGTTCCCAATAAAGCTTCCCACTTCGCCCTGGGAATGGGGACCCCCATGTGTCTCCCCTGTGTCACCCCGCTCTGGGACTCCTTGGGAAGCACCAGAACACCAGCAGGGAACCCACTGAACCCCAAAAGGCACTGGGACACCCCAAAGCTGCCAGGGAAATTTGGGGAGGGGGTGCATGGGGGGAGCCCAGGCCAAGAGCCCAGCGCTGCCCCAGCCCAACCTGCCCTGGGGCTCCATCCCGGCTCCTCCCATGGAATGAGGAGGCATTGGAAAAAGGTGAGGCCAAGGGTGGGCGCTGGGCCTGGGGGGAACAGGTCAAGGGATTGAGGAGGAGGGCACAGGAATGAGTGGAAGAAAGGCACAAGATGAGGAGGCAGGATGAAGGAGTGGATCCCTCCAACACCATTTGAGGGTCCCAGCCAACCTCATTTCCCCTGCACTTCTACCCCTTCTCCGGTGTCCCCCAAACCACCAGCCCCATCCCTCATGCCTGACTTTGGTGGTTCCAGGTCCCTCAGCCTGGGATTCCCATATCCCCTTCCCCTCAATTCAGGCACCTCCTGGCAGATTTTTCCTATGAGAAATCCCTGACTTTGGGGATTTTTGGGGTGCAGTTCTGGAGGGAGACAGCTCTGTCTGGCTTTCCCCTCCCTGCTGTGGCCTCTCAGCTGCCCCCCACACCCTGGGTGTGCTGGGATTTCCCTCCTGGGCACAAGGACCTTCATTCCCTTCCAGGAGCCCAGTGCCCAGCTGGGGCTCCAGGCCAGGGAGTCCTTGAGCAGCTGCCCCAGAACCTCCACCAGGGGCTCCCAGCGCAGCCGCAGCCGCTCGGCCTGGGCTCCCCAAAGCCCTCAGCAAGCCCCAAGTCCCTGCCAGGAACCCTCAACTCCCTCAAACACAGCATCCCCCACAGCCCCTGCCAGTTCCCCCCATGGCAGTGCCCATGGCCATGGCCCCACATGTCACTGGCCATGTCCCACCATGTCCTCACCCATGGCTGTGTCCCCACCATGTTTCCATCCCTGGCATTGTCCCCCACGTCTCCATCTGTGCCCGTGTCCCCCCATGTCCCCATGAATGGCCATGTCCCTGTCCATGTGTCCCCACGTCACTCTCCACGTCTATGTCCCACCATGTCTATGTGTCTCAATGTCCTCACCCACGTCTTAGTTCAATGTCTTTATTTTCACCCCAAAATTGGATATTTTGAAGGGATAAAGAAAAATGAAAAGCCAATCAGGCCATATTGAAAGGATTTCTGCCAGCTGAGGATCCCCATGCTTGGGTGGAAGGGAACAACATTTTTTGGAAGGCTTTCCAGACCACTATCTCCAAAATGGATTTTTGACCCATTTCATTGGCATCTAGCTGTAGAAGAGACCTCTGGGCAATAGGAAATGAAAATTGTGGAATCACTGAGGTTGGACAAGACCTCCAAGACCTCCTTGATGCCACCAGAAGATAGGTGGATTGAATGCAAAAGATTTTCTGGGCTTGAAAGTCAACAAATCCACTCTCCCAAAGGAATTCCCATTGTTGGTCTGTGTCCCAGTGGATGTTCCTGCCCTGGTGTTCATCCAGGTGCCCATGGGGAGCCAGGAAGATGTGGAGCCTCCCAGCCAGGTGTCTTCCCAACACCGATCACCAGGACCACGGATCACCAGGGCTCTGCCCAACAGGGGTCACTGGGGATCATCCAACGCCGATCCTCCCATGGGGGATGGAGATGGAGCAGCGCACGAAGCTCTTCCCGCACTTGGGACACTCGCAGGGCTTCCCTTACTGGTGCCTCCGTTGGTGTTGGGTCAAGTGATAGCCCCTGGAGAAGCTCTTGCCACACTGGGGACACTCGTAGGGCCTCTCCCCAGTGTGGATGCGCCGGTGGACGGTGAGGTGGGAACTGTGCTTGAACCCCTTCCCACAGTCGGGGCAGCGGAAGGGCCTCTCCTCTGTGTGAATCCGCTCATGTACGAGGACATGGGAGCTGGTCCGAAAACTCTTCCCACACTGGGGACACTCGTAGGGCCTCTCCCTGGTGTGGATGAGCTGATGTTTCCTCAGATTGGAACTCCACCCAAAGCTCTTCCCACATTCCAAGCAGGTGTAGGGCAGTTCCCCTGTGTGGATCACCTGGTGTCTCATCAGTTCAGAGGTATCTCTGAAGCTCTTCCCACATTTCCCACACTCATAGGGTCTTTCCCCACTGTGGATCACCTGGTGTGCCCTCAGTTTGGAGCGGTAGCTGAAACTCTTTCCACATTCCCCACACTCATAGGGCTTCTCCCCAGTGTGGATCACCTGGTGCCGGACCAGGCTGGAGCTGTGGCTGAAATCTTTCCCACATTCCAAGTACTTGTGGGGCTTCTCCCCCTGCTCTGAGCTCTGGCTGGATCTCTGGCCACCTTCCCGGCACAGGGAGGATCTTTCCTCCTCGCAGCTGCCTGGGCTGGGTTTGCAGCCCCTCCTTGTGCGAGATCTCCAGGGCTTTTCCTCCTCCTCCATCTGGCCACAGCTTGGGAATGAAAAATCCTGGTTTGGGGGAAAAAAAGAAAGGTAAAAGCATTGGGCTGAGGGTTTCTCCTTGCCCAAGTTCATCTCAGGAAGTCATTGGGCATCTAGTTTCTGTAAGAACCTCTAAGACACCAAGATTCAGCCCAAAAAATCCTCCAAACTTCAAGACAAATCAAAAACTTCCAAAACACCAAAAATCTGATATCCCCCCAACATAGAAATATTCAGCTCCCACAAAAAAAACAAAGCACCAACATTCAGCCCAATAAAGCTCAGAAACTCCAAGATGCAGCCCCGTGAAAATCGTGGATCTCCCTGCCCGGGCACTCGCTGCATGGGGGGGTGAGGGGGGCAATGAGGCCGGGCCGGAGCAGGGGGTGCCTGAGAGAGGCCCCGAGCCCGGGGGAAGCCCCTGCAGAGCCATGGAAGTGGCTCCTGGCCGGACTCGGGGATCCCCCTGGCGATCCCCGCTGGAGCAGCCCGGTCCTGAGGGACTCTGTCCCCTGGGAGGGACCCCAGGCTGCAGCAGGACAAGGATTCCTGGCCCTCAGGGGGAGGCAGTGACATGACCTGACTGTGACCCCCATCCCTGTGCCTCTGGGCGGGGAGGGGGACGGACAGGGGCAGAAAGTTAAGCCCGGGAAGGAGGGACAGCTGGGGGGAAGATGGATTTCCGTAGGAATTACTTTACTTCTCATTTTCTTCCTCTGACACGTTGGATAATAAATTCAATTAATTTCCCCAAGTCAGGTGTGCTGTGCCCGTGACCAAGGATTGAACTGTCCCTGTAATAGATTGCTAACGTTCATCAAATTTCATTTAATATAATTAGTCTAAGTATAATGTAATTGCTGAAGCTGTTTTAGGACCTAACACTGTAGAAATGCCAAACCACAACCTCCGGTTGTAGAAAGAAAAAGCTGAAGTTGCAGAGAAGCCAGACTACAGCAGCTGCAGAGAAGTTAGACCACAGCCTCCAGTGGCACAAACAAAAATTAGAACATCTCCTTATTAAGGAGAATTGCCTAACTGTCATAAGACCAACGCCCGATCATGGACTGAGGAAGACTACAAGCCTTCACCCCACGACCACCGGGAGGCAGAAGAAGACCCTTTTCTTCTGGTGGCGCAGGCGCCGGCGCGATTCAGGAAGACACCGACACAGGGACTGTATAAAGGGAAACCTCCCCAGCTAAAGCGCGCACCGTGGGTGGAGACGCTGAAGTAGAGCAGCGTCCCCCAGCTCGCCCCAGTTAGCTGGCCTTTTGCTCGCTTTTACCGCTTGCTAAATTAATAAAATTGGTTTTTATGAGTAACAATTTAAATTGTCCCTTTTTATTCAGTCACAACAATTTATAACTGTCCCCTCCCTCATCCAGACCCCCGAGCCTTTTCCTTGTGTGTTCTGCTCCCTGCCCGGGGCAGGAATCAGTCACAGAGTTTTGGCCTCTTTCCGGCATGCCCTGCTCCATCCCGGACTCACCCCCAGCTCGCAGCGCCCTCAGCTCCCGGGCACCCCGAGCTCCCGGCGCTTCAGCGCAGCGGCGCTTCCTTGGCCTCCTGCCCGGGCCGGGCCCAGCGCCGGGGCCGCTCCTCAGCCGAGGCTTCCGAGAAATGGCGGAGATCAGGCCAAGGGAGGAGAGGCCGTGCCGTGTGCAGAGCCCGCCGCTGGCTGCGATTGGCTGCTTCTGCCG